GTTTGGGTCTGACAGATAATAAATGTGCAATTTATCAAATTCGTAATAATTGTTAGGAAATCTGATAAATTATCTGAGTTACTGTTAGGAAGTGTGAGAAATACTGCAAATTAGATCATATGTCCCTGTAATCCGCTAATAGTGGATAACATTTGTTTTGTTGAAAGCATTGTGTCACACGCATAACTTTTTGGCTCAATTTCCCTTTCGAAAAGTAAAGTAAATAAATACACCCCTCCTGTCAGTCCTTAATAAAATATGACCCACACCACATTTTTTATTATCCAATGATCTTAAATCTAACTGCATACTACATCACATGCACTGACTGTATAATGCCCACCAATAATAATAATATTCATTGCATCTGATATAGCGCCTTATCACATCTTCGAGATGTCTACGTGCTTCACAGAATATACTGTAAAGTGGATTGACTGTATATTTTGTGGGCCAAGAAGTTTTATGGCTCATCATTTCACAGCACAGCTGCTCTCACAAACTAGAGAGCACTGTACAGAACCAAATGTTCATTGATAAATAATAACAATTATAGTATGACAAGTGGCTACATAACAGAATAGCACAAAGGAAGTTGTTGAATCCAATGTTTGTTCCACTTTTGACAAAAAGAAAAATGCAATCGTTCACAAGCTTGTGAATGAAGCAGGTCGGGTCAGCTTATTGGTTAGGGCTCTCATTTCTGGGATACAAAAAAATTGTTTGTTGGGACTTGAGCTCATAGCTCATAGCACTGGCACTGCATTGTTGGATGTGCTATCCTTCAACTGAATGATCACCTATGGACAGGCAAATAAGATTTGAACAATTCCTTGCCACAATTGGAAAAGAGAAGGGAGATTTCGCCCAGTATCCTGCCCAACAATCCGCCGGGTAAATTGATCCTTTAACTCATCATGGTGGTTTGTGAGATCTTGCTATTTGTAAAATGTCTGCTGTCACTTGTCAACTGATACATAAGCTGTTATTGCAAGAGCATGCATTTTTCATGTAAGATAACATCTCAACGCATTTTGACCACATCACTCCCACCCTCGCTCGCCTCCACTGGCTCCCCATCCCCCAGAGGATTGATTTCAAGATCCTCATCCTCACCTACAAGGCCATTCACGGCCTTGCTCCCTCCTACCTCTCCAACCTACTATCCCCCTACCTACCTGCCCGTACCCTCCGTTCCTCTGGCTCCGGTCTGCTCCACGTCCCCCGCCCCAACCGCCCTACTATCGGTGGTCGGGCCTTCAGCCTCTCAGCCCCGAGGCTCTGGAACTCCATCCCCCAGTGCCTTCGCCTTGCTTCCTCCCTTTCCTCCTTCAAGGCCGGTCTCAAAACCTTTCTCTTTGACCGTGCCTTCAGCTCCCCTCACGACTCTCTTCCTCCTCCTCGCTCCCTCCCTTCCCTCCCCTCACCCTGACCATTTCCCCTCCTCTCTCCCTCCCTTCCCTCCCCTCACCCTGACCATTTCCCCCCTGCTCGGGTCATGACCCAACTGTGCAGCGCCTTGGGACGTCCTCCTGACGTGAAAGGCGCTCTATAAATGGAATCTTGTTGTTGTTGTTGTTGTTGTTTAACAGGTACAGCACTGGACACAAGCGGAGAGGATGGGAGATTGATAAGAGGAGGCAAAGCAGAGGGAATTCCAAAGGTTATGGCATAGTAGCTGAATGGTCAGCTTCAGATAAGGAACAAGGAATATGCAGCAAGCATGAGAGAGCAAGCAGTGAGGGCCACGATCGCAGACTTCGAGAGGGTGAGGATGTGTAGAGATTTATAGGTGATGTTACAGTGAGAGTGAGGATCTACTAGAAGACTAGGGAGCCTGGCGAGGACCTGGCTGATGGGTATGTTAAGATTGATGACTACCTAGTGATTCCTGCTGAAAGTACATGATTTGTTGAGGACAGAATTTATCTCGCCTGTGTTACTCCCATAATCAAACAACCTGCCAGCAATCATCACCCAGGTTGACACATGATGAAATGGCCCTGGGAATGTTACTGAAAAGATCCTGGCATGTGCTGAATCACATCCCGGGGTGACTCACTGCTTTTATGCAATGAGAGAAAACTGGAAAAACTTCAATGCCTTTCTCAGGTTCCGATACTGCTAATTTAAGATCAATTATAGACTGAATTCCAGTTAAAACGGCAATTTATTTTTCTGCCTCTTCACCTCCAGTCCCAATTTTTTTTTACAGGACTATGTGTTAAAATTGTTTGTATTTTTACACTGAAAGAACTGATATTTTGTATATCATTCATAGGAGTCCTGTATCTTAGTAGTTAGAGCACTCGCCTCGCAAGCAAGAGGACCTGGGTTCGATTCCCGGCAAGGCGAAACGTTGGGTAAGTTTCCTTACTCCACACGGCACTGCTTAGCTAGCAGTAAGTTGGAACCCTTTTGTTAGTCAATGGCGGATCGCTTTTCCAGGGTTAATAATTCCTTCAATATAAATTTTAAAATAATTTGGTTAATTTATGACTGTTTGTGGGACACTGCTGTGTGCAATTGGCTGCCATGTTTCACCCACAAACTATACAGTTAATTCACTTTACAGTATATTCTGTGAAGCACTTTGAGAAGTCTCTAAGACGTGAGTAGGATGTCACCCTGCCCCCAGTGACTGGTCTGCCCTTCCAGGTCCTTCCGATAAGCCAGGCTGACTGTGCTGTCATCAGCAGGGCCCTGGAATACTACGGACCTGCCTGGCTCAGGAACTGGACTACCGAGACTGCCAGAGGGCTGGCTCGTCACTTCAGAGTCAGTTCAGCTACAAGAGACAACCCTCCCTCCCTTCCGACCCTCCGCCCCACCCGGGATACCATAGTTCAAAAAAAACACAGCTATCAGAGAAGATAAAAACACTGATGTGATCTAATCCTTTCATCCACCAAATCCATCACTAATTCCTTTCGTACTACTTTTCAGGGTCTGGTAATCTTTCAGGAACCTTCGAAATAAATGTAGACAGCTGGAATAATGATGTGTACCACTATTTCACACAGAAGCAGGAACCTTTGAACAATCTTCACGCTATGCTGGTTCACTGTCCAATCCTAACATTCAGGGTATAAAATGTGACAATCTCACCCTTTATGCTCTGAATCAGAATAGGTTTGGTACCTGGCCTTGCACCAAGAATGGCCGGCATAATTGAAACTGGAATATTTGCAAACAAAAGTGATGAAACAATATGAAAATCCTTTAACCACTAATTTGTTCTTAGTTGTATTTGGGTCTGAGGTATGTGCTGCTGAAAAGAAACATTTTAGAATAAATAAATTCAATTTTGCAAACTTTTTTTGGGTCAGTCGGGGGCGTCTGGCATTGTGGAAACTCACCACCATGCTTCAAAAGATCACAAACTCGGTCTGGATGAAGAAGACCCATTGGCTCTTTTGATCTCATCCCTCCAGAACACCCCATCATTGTGTTATGCTGCTTTTTAAATGTCCTGGCCTCTACCACCTTTCCTGGCAACCTGTTCGTTGTTGATCACTCTCTGCGTGAAGAAAGGTTTCCTGATATCTAACCTGAAATTGTCATTTACAACTCTAAACCTGCTTCCTCTTGTTCTGCTGTCATGATGCATCCTAAAGCAAGGAGCTGGATTTACTTTTCCAATCTTATTTAAAATTTTATACACCTCTTTGAGGTCCCCTCTGAGTTATCTTCTTTCAAGATTGAAGAGCCTTAGCTTGTTTAGTTATTGCTCATAGATCATTCCTCTAATAGAGAAGAGCCAAGGCTTGGGAATTGAAATTTGCGCTTTGGGGTCCTACTAGGGGTTGAACCAGCTGTAATCCCAGTTACTTGCCACTGAAAGCACTATCTGGCAAGCAACCCTTGCTTGACCAATTAAGACTACCCTACCCGTTTGATTTGCAGTTCTAACAGGAGCAGAGAGAGAAGAATCCTTCAAACGATCCATATAAATGACATAAAACACCACTAAAAGGCACAAAGGGTAATAGTAACTTTAAGACAAACCTGAGTGACCTTGAAAAATCAGTTATATGGCCAGCAGAGTATGGTGGTAAATGAGACCCAAAGCAGGTGCATCTGCCAGTGAATATTTTATGCCTAAGTATCCATGCTTGAACTAATGTAAAAGGTGAGATCAAGGAAAATGCAGTTACTTCTGATTCTTTGTCCAAAGTAATCTCAATGTCAATGTATATATGACCAAACTGCAATTGTGAAACAGCATCCGTTACATCACACAAACATTTACCTATTTTACTCCAGTTAACCCTGTAGCAGTAACTGCATCTTTTATTTATAGCCACTTTTATTCAGTTATTTATATAATCCTTGCATTTGATATAGCGCTTTTCACATCTTCTGGACATCTCAAAGCTCTTCACAGAATATACTGTAAAGTGAATTGATTGTATATTTTGTGGGCAAAACACAGCAGCCAAATTGCGCACATCATTGAGCCACAAATAGTTGTGGATTGAAGTGACCAATTTATTATTTTTTNCTTGAGGGATAATTATCAGCCAGTTGTGTGGAGTAAAGAAACTTGCCCAAGGTTTTGCCCTGCCGGGAATTGAACCCAGATCTCTCGCTTGCGAGGTGAGTGTTCTGATCACTGAGCTACAGGACCAAAATAGAGAGTAACCTACAAATGTTATTTTCTCGACTTTCCTCTTTCTATGTTTTAGGAGTTTAAGTTCGGAAGTAACAACTATTTAAAAAAGATACTTTCTTTTATTCAGTTCTTTTACAACAAAGATATTTATTTCCAGGGATTGTATTCAAACTATAAGGTTGAGTTAGAAGTCCCTTCCAGATGATGTTGGGCATTCATTCATAAATAAGATAATTTCTCGGCACTGCCAACAATTTGCAATCAGGGGAATGGGACTTTGTGCAGCAGACAAATGACTGCTGGCGGGTTACAGCAAATGAAAATTCATTCTCACCAGTAAAAATCTTACTGGGGGATAAGATTCAAATGAGACACTAAAACAAAGTTTCCAGTTCCTACCAAGCTCGTTTTATTCAAGTCTTTGGTATCGGCAGCATTATATTACACATTGTACAAATATTAACTAACAAGATTTTTGATTTAACAGTGAAGTTGTTGCATGGAATCAGAACTGAAATACAGGTGCAGTGTATATTCAGGTTAGATAAAGGACTAAATAGAAATACTAAATGACGTAAGAGTAAGGCTGAAGCTCAGTCTTATGGGCCAATTGACAAAGCATGCATGTACAAGTCTTTTTAAAAAAATTAATCTGTAGTTTATTGCTGTACAGGGGGGATGAAAACTATATATGTGCTTCGTCAAACAAATCCCAACCTAAACCAATGAACTGGATAGCAACTTTTTTTAAAAAAAAATCATTACAAAAAAAGGCAACACTGAATGATGCATTTCAAATCTCGATGCTGCTTGTAAGGAGTGCTAATGCAGGTGATGTCACAGAAAACAATGCTCTTACCCTTTGCAGTTTGAAATTCAAGTAAAGTCCAACCACTATTCTGAATATTTTAAATCATGATCATCTTAAAAGAGCCATTTCATACCAAAAGAAAATCGTACGCCTGCATTTTCCTCTCCTCCTCCTCCCACCCCCTCCACAGCCCCCTCCCAATTAAACATCTATGGCTAGCTTTTATTTTGTTTTGGTCAAAACATCAAGCTCTAGTCTATCGATTCTTGTTCACATAAGTGAAGGAATGTACTTTCCTCATTTGGGGCAATACAAATCTGAAATACATTACTTCTTTCCCTTGAAACATGTCCCATAAAATTCAGTTTTTAAATTCACACTTTATTTAAAAACTTTAGTTAATGCAAAAAAGAAAATGGGTTTGACACCGAATATCATGTTTATGCTTTATTAAATATTTTAAGGCAGTTGTAATTTGTTTTACTTTTAAATACCAACCCTACTGTAGTAAGCCTATCATTTACAATAATACAGAGTAAGTTATAAACATTAATTTTCTCAACTATCCTCATTGTATGTTTTAGGAGTTTAAGTTTGGAAGTAACAACTAAGTACATCTCAGCACTGATGGTTTACTCAGCTGAGAGTGTGTTAATAACTGTAGAGGCAAAAGCTACAATTAATAAACAGTAAAAAGAAACATTATACTATGGGATTTTACATATCTTGCAACACAACAGCATTTACAAGTAACGATTCTGAATACATCAGCCTTGTGTAACTCTTTATAACCAATTTCAAATGAGACCCTTTTTCCTGGCATTTTAATGCTTACTATTGCGGCTTATAAAATGTACTTCAGATGATGTTTTAAGTGAATGTCTAACATAAGGGCATTGCAATACTATTGATACTATCTAGTTTAACTAATGTTATTGTACTGAAGTTAATGTACAATACTGCAAATAAAAATGGGTAACTGAGATAGTTAAAGAGTCAAGAGCATATTTCTGATAAAGCTTCCTCAACTTCAACATGACATGATACGAAAAACTGTCACTTCTGTTCCATACAACCTAGATTACTCTTTTGCACACATTACCTAATGGACAAAGCTAATAAATTGCCGATACATTTACAGTATGAGTTTTACTATTTTTGGTATGTGTGCACACTTACTTTGTAAGTAAAATATATTGAATCCTGGACCAAATTTGACATATTCTTTTCCCAGCATACAACCCTTTTCCTTCAGACAGCAATGTTAATATTTGCAATTTACTAGTCTATGGTACATCAAGTTAATCCGCAATATAATAAAAGGAAAGTTTTTTTTGTTGATGGTTGTTTTAGCTTAAAAAATTCAACATTTATTAAAAACGCTACAAATGTTTAGACATACATCACAGAATAAATAATGTATCTACTATTTCGGTAAAACAAGCTAACATTACTAATGCTACTAATTTGAAGTCAGCATGCATAGATGTTCTTAAGTTTCTTTTCTTCTCCTGAAAGCAGATTACATGGACATGTCAAAGAGCAAATTGTAAATAAGTGAGGTAAAAGTGATATTTAGATTTACACTGAACAAATTTAAAACAAGATTATACAAGTGAAGAGGCTAACAGTGTGGAGCACCAAACAACGGCACATCTTTGCTCTATCACATTGGAAGATGTTTCTTGAAAATGAAGAAAGCATTTGCATTTCCTTATGCGAGCAAATTGTATTTAACACCATATCAAACATTCTACCTGTGAAATATTTTTCATGTATATGACACACTCATAAAAGGGAATCCTGGTTGACACAAGAATTGTAATTTTTTTTGGCATAACACCTGGTCCCAGGTTCACTCATTTTTTTTAAAAACCATTGCCTGAATTAATCTTTTGGGAGATAATGTTGTAAATGATTATACCCTGGATTAAGTCTTCAATGTGGATTTCATTATTGGTTCAACAATAATCACGGTCTACCTGTACATTTTACAATTAGCCACTGGTGGTACAGTATTCTTGCAACATTGTGGCCTACTCAGTGATAGTTTGATACTGTAATCTATGAAGCATAACATTTATCAACAGTTCTTGCATCTTGTTTCTTCACCTCAGATTAAAATAAATTTTCACTTAATTCTAGAAAATCAGTAGCTGCACAGTAACCCTTGAAACTGTCAGTCACTGATGCTTAATTCAAATGGGGGTACACCGGTCCCGTTTGGTTTGAATATATGCCTCATGTAACTCTATTGGAATTTGTTTCTTTGACTCAGCAGTCACTTTGAGAAAGGCTGGAAGGATAAAAACCTCAACGGGCATATGCATACAATGATGTTGTAACACCTATGAATCCAGGACACCATGATGTAATTTCCCGTTCCAGTCACTTTCAAAGGGAGATTTACTCATAAGAGGACACTATTGCAAGAAACGCAGACCAACATACTTTGGTTTCCTTTAGTAACTAGATGAACACTACTAATGTGGTCCCAAAGCAGTTCATGATTGACAGGGGCTACGTAATCCAAATTCTGATGCAAACACTGACTTAATTTTTATCTTAAAGTAACAAAATCCTCAAGTAACAAATTATTATACATTTTTATCAAAAAGAAAGCCTAGAATGGACTTTGAAAATAAACATCCGGTTGTATCTAGCAACTATTAATCTTGTATATTATAAGAAACACACTGATAAGTAAGTAAATGGGCATAGTTTTTAATCTACTAGAACTGCCTGAACATCCTCCTCATTTGACATGGTCTCCAGCTTCAGTGACTGGTTAGTTTCTGTCACTTCACAAGCCTCTGATGAACCCTCCCCTCGAACTGCTGACTGAGTTTCCATCAACACAAATGTATCCGAGTTCTGGTTTTGACATGAATGCCTAACAGCTTCGCTAGCACTAGAGAAGCTTTTATCACACAGATTGCACTTGTACGATTGATTTGTTGGAAGGTACATAGGATCCATTAATGACTGGTTATTTTCTTCTGAAGACCCTTCCCCAATCACGGTTTGCTTATTATCCACCATCATAAAGGTATCAGAGTTCTGGTTAAGGCACACATGCCTAGCAGCCTGGTTGGCCCTACAGAATGTTTTATCACAAGTACTGCACTTATATGGTTTGCCTGTGTGAATATACATATGTTCTCGCCAGTGGCTTTTCTGTATGAACTTACGGCCACAGATGGAGCACTCATACTTTCGTCTTTTTACCTCCCTATCTTGATCTCCTAGCTCTAGGTTATCAATATCCGCAATGTCTGATGGTGGTGGTGTTTCTGCCTGCTGCTGTCCATCCGTCATTGGTGAATCATTTTTCTGTGGCAGCTCACTGTCACTGATTACTTCTGCTTCAGGTATTATTTCCTCAGGATCTTTACTGGGTTCAATAGACTCAGATTGGCCCAGCAGATTAGACATATTTAATCCTGGTTGATTGCTAACAGGAAGTGACATCCCTGTGTGAAGCTGCAAATGTTCACGCAGGCTGCTTCGAAGCGTGAAACGACGACCACATAGATGGCAGACATAAAACTTTGGAAAACCACTATTCTTCTTCATTATGCTAGGCTTAACGTGAGCTACTGCATGAATTTCAGGCTGCCCATCTAGAGGAGGAATATTTTCACATCGTTCCTCCACAGATTGTGAACCAAGTGGAGGGATTTGTGCTTGCAGTGTGCCTGAGGATGTCAAAGATGACTGCCCAATATGCTGAGATGGTTGGATAATAGGTGTGCCCTGGGGATGCTGTTGACTCCCTTCTGAAACGCGATCCTGATCCATCCGTGATGAGTGTGTTTGAGACCTGGATTCTCGCACAGACTTTTCTCCAGTTGCAGACAATCTGCCATGAGGCGAAATTTGATTATCTGCAATCTGAATGCCATACAGTGACGATGTCCATGCAAACACTTGATCAGGACGAGGAACGGCTCCATGGCTGGCAAGGCTGGCTTCTTGAACTAGCGGATAAGCATGCAGAAACTTAATTCCTTGTTCAAGACGAACAGGATCAATGATCTGCGGAGCCATCTTCCCAGTGTACATTAAATGCAGGAGGTAGCTAAAGATATCTGGTTGAATATCTGTTGGTTTCAGACGGACACAGTCGCTGCAAAAAAGAATAAAAGTTTTACAAATATTATATGTCCTACTATATTATAAAATTGATGATTTTGATTCAGCTGTCACCGTAACTAGTTGTTAATAAAACTGAAACATCATTCTTTTTATTCAAACATGCAAATTCAAAAATCATAAGTTGAATCAAGGAAAACAAGTGGAAAACAGTATGTTTCAAATCTACCCACTGAAATACACCCATATTACAGAAAGTATATTTTAGCAATGGAAAGAGTATATTGTAAATTTACCAGGGTTGAGTGAATACAGCTATCAGGGAGGGATGGATAGATTGGAGCTTTGAGACAACTGAGCAAAGATAAAACATGTTTAAAATTATGAAAGAATTTTATAAGGAGGAAATTGATTTTCATTTACTGATGAGTTCAAAACATGAATGCATAAATGTAAGATAGCTAGTAATGGATCTAATAAAGGGTTTAACAGAAACGTCATGCAGAGGTTGTGGAACTCACTGGCAGAAGCTGTGGTTGAAGCAAAATTCCATGTATTTAAGAAAAAGTTTGATGCACACATGAGGGAGAAGGGAATATAGGGGTATAGGAGAGGGAATAGGAAGGGTGGGGACTCACGTGGAGTATAAACACAAATGGTCCATTTCCATGCAATATCATCTGTAATTCTATGTAAATATGTTGTCACCACTATTACAAATTTCACTTATGTTGAAATCCACATAAATATACTTGACAAAAATACATTTACAAATGTTAGATCATAAACTGAAAATGTACTTAGAAACAAAAAAAATGACATTTTATATACATTTGCAAACTGTAACAGAAATGCTATATTCATATAAATCACAAGAACAGAAACTTTTGTTGTTTAAATGCATCAAAATATTTATTACCTGGTCTGATGAATAAAAAGCATTTTGAAGTAATTGGAAAAAGAAGCTAGGACTGCTTTATGTGCCTTGAAATAGACATCACCTATAGCCACTGTGCAGTCACACAGGAAGCCAAATTCCCGTTGAGCATTGAGCTGCTGTAGCAGGATAAGACCATGGTTAGCCAGTTCCATATTTAGATCCTAGAGAATACAAGAAAAGAGGTCACCTTAAATACATGGATGAAGCCAAGTAAATTACCAATATCTGAAAACTATAACTCTATCAAATGATATCACTCCACTCTAGGGAAAACAGCTAATCTTTCTCCATAAGTACAATCTCTCATCCCTGGTACCATCCTAGTGAATCTCATGTGCACCCTTTCTATGGCCTTAATTGAGGCCTTCCTGTATTGAGGTGTTCATTATTGGACACAATTCTTCAGCAACATTGGTCCAAATAATGATATATACATGGTTAACATTACTCCTTTACGTTTATATTCTATGAAACTAATTATAAAATGCAATATTTGAATAGCTTTTTTATAAAAACTTTCATCAACTTTCCCTTCCACCTTCTTTTAAAAATATTGTGTATTTACATCCTAACAATCCTCTGTGTAAAAATATTCCTATCTTGAACCAACTATACATACAGTAAAATCCTGATAAATCGACCCTGGCTTAACTTATCACTGTTATTTAAATCATAATGTGTCAATATCCTGACCACACTTATTTATGTATTTATACACATGCCTAACTCACCACTCTGGATAACTCGTCATTTGAGTCCTGTTCCCTTGGAGTGATGATTTATCAGGATTTTTCTGTATCTGTAGAATAGCCCAGTTTATGGTAGTTTACAAAATGTTGTAATTTTACATACAACCACTTTGAATTTAAGAAAAGGCCTAAACCCCCTCCTACCCCAATATTCTGCAGTCACTTTTTCCTCTCTGAAATCATTTGACTCATCTTCCTTCCAATGATTGTACAAGTCCACAAATGTACTTTGATACCTCAAGTTGTTCTTTCTTCCAAGTGTGAACCTGGATAGTGGATGTTACAATAAAGTGGAGTCCTGTAGCTCAGTGGTTAGAGCACTCGCCTTGCAAGCGAGAGACCTGGGTTCAATTCCAGGCAGAGCCAAACCATGGGCAAGTTTCCTTACTCCACACTCCTGATAATAATCCCTCCAAAACAATAATAAATTGGTCACTTTCAATCCACGACTGTTTGTGGGACACTGCTGTGCGCAATTGGTTGCCGCGTTTCACCCACAAATATACGGTCAATTCATTTTACAGCATATTCTGTGAAGCACTTAAGAGATGTCCAGAAGATGTGAAAAGTGCCAAATGCAAGGATTATTAATATAGCAAACAACCCTGGGGTAGTACATTTGATTGAGGTAATTAAATAAATTAACTTTAGTTGGACTTGCATATTTTATGGGATATAAAATGGGCCTAGATTGCTAGGAAGTCACATGAAAGACTTGCTGTTGTCTTTGTGGTGGGCTGTTGAAAGTGCACTCAGCTCACAGATTTGTATTCAAAATTGCTCCAATTCCCTATTGTTTGTGCTTGAAATGTTTCCAACAGCTCCTGCTTATTGAACAAACCCTTTCCTTGAAACAATGTTTGAAGGAGGTTGATCAGAAGGTCCTGTGGGAATTTTGCAGTGGAAGACCAATAGTGGAAAATGATCCTACAGGTTACAAGCCATTCTCCTGTGTTCTTTCTGTGCTTTCACTGCAGTGTGCTGCTGGAAATGGGAAGAACCTGACAACACCCAAAACAAATGCCACTAATCATGTTCACGCTGGAAAAGAGAAGATTGAGAGGAGATATGATTGCTGGGTTTAAGATTCTATAGGGGCCAGACAATGTAGATCATGACAGGCTGTTTCAACTAGTCTGAAACTAGTCAGAAACTGCTCTGGTCAAGATCACAAATGACATCCTGACCATGTGTGACCAGGGCTCCCTCTGCCTCCTCGTCCTCCTCGCCGCCTTTGATACCATGGACCACTCAATCCTCCTTCACCACCTCTCCTCCCACCTCAATCTTCAAGGTTCTGTCCTTGACTGGTTCAGGTCCTACCTTTCACACCGCCTCCGCTTCGTCGCGGCAAACGGTTTCTCTTCCAGCACCCTTGTGCGGTGTTCCTCAGGACTCTGTCCTCGGTCCCCTCCTCTTCACCCTCTACATGCTCCCTCTTAGTGACATCATCCGCAGACATGGGGTAAATTTCCACATGTATGCGGATGACACCCAACTCTACCTTTCTGCCTCCACCCTGACCTCCAGGACTGGCTTCCTGACCGATTGCCTGTCCGACATTAAGTCCTGGACGAGGGCCAACTTTCTCAAACTCAACGTCAGCAAGACCGAGGCCCTCCTGATTGGCTCGCGCCAGTGCCTCCGCACTTCAGGCGCTGGCAGCATCAGCCTCCACAGCTGCACACGCAACCTCACTAAGCCAGTCAGAAACCTGGGTGTCTTGTTTGACCCTGAACTGTCCTTTCTCCCCCACATCCGCGCCATGACTGGCACTGCCTACCACCACCTCTGCAGCATTGCCAGACTCAGTCACTGCCTCACCCCTCAGGCTACCGAAACTCCACCCACGCATTCGTCACCTCAAGACTTGCTTACGGAAACTCCCTCCTTATCGGCCTTCCCAACTCTTCCCTTCACAAGCTGCAGATCATCCATAACTCTGCAGCTTGTGTACTCTCACGCACCAGGCTCCACGACCCCATCACTCCCACCCTCACCCAACTCCACTGGCTCCCCAACTCCCAGAGAATCAAGTTCAAGATCCTCGTCCTCACCTTTAAGGCCATCCATGGCCTTGCCCCCTCCTATCTCTCTAACCTGCTGACTCCGTACCAAACTGGCCCATCGGGCTCCGGCCTGCTCCATGTCTCCCTCCCGATCCACCCTACCATTGGTGGCCGGGCTTTCAGCCTCTCTGCCCCCACACTCTGGAACTCCATCCCATGGTCTCTTTGCCTTGCTTTCTCCCTTGCTTCCTTCAAATCCGGTCTCAAGACCCTTCTCTTCGACCATGCCTTTGGTCTCCCTCCCACCTCTCTGCCTTCCCTCACCACTACACCACCCCTCCCCGATGCTCGGCCCCCCAACATTTGACTTTTCAGCGCTTTAGCAAGTCCTCTATAAGGCGTTCTATAAATGTAATTTTGTTGTTGTTGTAGTCCAGGATAATAAAGCCAGAGGCACGGCCTGCGATTGAAGGGGATAAATTCAGAACGAATCTACGAAAACACTATTTCAGTGAGCGAATAGTAAACTTGTAAACCATCTCTCTAGGGAGACGGTTCAACAGGAAATGTTGATTCTTTCAATATAGATTACAGTTTTCTTTAAGGAAATAGCATTATGGGATATAGTACATAGTTTGGGACATATGTGCACGCAACCGCCAGGAAGGTGGAAGGCGAACTAGATGGACCTTGGTCTTTTTTTCATCTAGCATTTCTTATATTCTAATGTAATCAACGGCAGTTTGGATGTAAAGTATTCTGTCAAGGTAAGATTAATCCTTCTAGCTTCTAGGGCACAAGTTAGATTTGCTTCTGTAACTCCTCTAAGATTTCCTGTGCTTCAATGCACAGAGAGGGCAGGTTGAATATGAAGAAACCTTGAGTCACATCTATATAATCAAGAGCAATGGTGACATGACTACTGTATAAAACTATCACATTGCTAGGCTGTTATTGTGCCTGTTCAGTGGATCCCAGAAATGCCTAAACCTTCTAGTCTGTTTCATGGACTCCCAGGAGCCAACTGGGACTGAGACCACTATCAGATCTACTTGAACTGGGTCGAATGGAAAAGAAGGCCAAGTGGGTAATTGGTAGGCCAATTGGTAGTTGTTGATCAGACACAATGTTTGCAATGATAGCTGTACAGGTTTTTTAAAAATAGTTATTTAATAACAATAATCCCTGCATTTGATATAGCGCTTTTCATATCTTCTAGACATCTCAAAGCGCTTCATAGAATAGACTGTAAAATGAATTGACTGTGAATTTATGGGCAAAACACAAATATGATAGAAAATAATCCTTAATAAACAAAGCCTATAATAATAAACAAAACCTATAAGATTGAAATGTCTTAAAGTGCTTTACAGGCAATTGCTGTAGAATGTAGTGACCATGTATTTGCAGGTGAACTTGGCAGCCAATTTGCACACAGTATTATCCACAAATAGCAATGAAGTGAATGGCCACAATTGTATATGGAGAATTGTTAGCCCCTACACATTAGAGCTCTCTTCTCTTTTAGAATAGTGCTGTGGGATACCTAATGACTACATGAGCAGGCAGATGGGGCCTCAGTTTAGCACCTCACCCATTTAGGCAAGAATCGAACCAAAGACATTTATGGCACAGAAGGCCATTTGGCCCATGTCTGTGCCAGCTCCATCAAGGGCAACCTTTCAATCTCATTTACCTCCCCTTTCCCAAAGCTCTATAGATGACCCTTTTAATTTATCAGTCTAGTTCCGTCTTGAAAGCAAATATAGATTGTGCCTCAACCATCATTCCCGGCAGGGCATTCAATTTCCTAATTACTCTGTGCATGAGAAACATTTCTTCGAACCTTCCGGCTTGCTCATTTACTAACCATCTTAAACTGATGTCTTTCAGTTACTGACTCACCAGCCAGTGGAAATAAATTCTCCCTACTAAGTCTATCATAATTTTAAAGGTTTCTATCAGGTTATTCTTCAACTTTCTTTGTTCCAGCAGAGAGAGAGAGAGAAACACACACACAACTCAGCGATGGAGAGACACACACACTGAAACTTAGAGAGACGCACACACGCCCTCACAGACACAGAAAGACACATTCAAGAGACAAACACACATACACAGACACAGAGTGAGACACATCCACTCACAGACAAAGAGAGACACACTCATTCAAAGACAGAGACACACACACACATTCAGAGACAGAGACACATATGCACTAACAAACACACACAGAGACACATACACACAGGCAATCATACACACTCACACACAGACTCACAGACAATCACAACAGCGGGGCCTCTGAATGAAACCCATTTGCCGCTTGCGCCACACATGCACGTTCAGAGCCGTACTGCCCCACCCACAGTGACGTCAGGTAAACAACTGGGAGGCCCACTG